AAAAGCTTGACTGACAGCCATAGAAAACAAACTCACGGTTACCAGGGAGGGAAGGGGTGGAGACAGATAGATTGGGAGTTCGAGATTCGCAGATACTAACTACTACATGTAAAATCGATAAACAATAAGGTCCTACTGTGTAGCACAGGGAACTATATTCAATATCTTGCAATAACCTATAATGAAAAAGAGTATGAAAAGGAATATATATATATATATATATGTGTGTGTAACTGAATCACTATGCTGCACACCAGAAATTAACACAACATTGTAAACTGAATACACTTCAATTAAAAAAAAATTAAAAAACAAGATTAAAAAACAAAAAGACTAAAAGCTTCACCATTGACTTAATGCAACAAGTACTTTGGAAAACATGCTGTGTGCCCAGCACCAGGTGGGCTCTGGAAAGAAGAGGAGGTAGAAAGCGTTCTCCACGCAGGCCCTGTCCTCAGCGGCTCGCCACTAGCCACAGGTCCCCAGGCTCCGGGTCCACCCTTTGTCCCGGTGAGAGAGTCAGTCCCCATTTCTCGCCACATTTGGTTTCTCCAGACTCGAGTCCATGCTGGCTTCCGGACTGGGCCCAGGAGGAAATGGAAATGTTCTCAGAGGAGGCAGCTCTCTGGACATCCTAGCTCAGCATCTGCAAACAAATGCTAAGCCTAGGCAGGGCCGGGTCCCGTGCTTAAACCAGCCTGGGAGCATCAGTCACCATGGACAAGAGGCCGGAACTTGGTTGCTTTCAAAATGACCTCTCTCAATCAAGGTCACAGTGAGGTCAGGGCACCTTTGTATGAATTAGAAGAAGGTGCCCACCCCGGGCCAGACCTAGCCCCATAGGACCTCAGATGGGCGCATGGATCACAGGACAGACTTCAGCATTTACAGTCCCCTGGGCTGGGCACACTTGTGCAGTGAACAACATGAACAACTGTATCTAGCAGCCTTGCCCTCAGACCCCAACTGCACATCCAAAACCCCTAGACCTTTGCAGTCATTGTGTGTGAGAAGATCCAGGCCTCAGCTCCTTCTAGACACATGGATGACCCCGGATCTAAGCCAAGACTCCCCCCAAAAGGGGAAGAAAGCTGTGCTCTAATACTCGCATGCATCCACAACCCACTGACTTAGAAACTCAGCATCACTACATGACCTCTCCGGTCATTCCTTCTTTCCTTTCACGGAGGGACAGGTGGACATGGCCGGGAGGAGGGGAAAGAGCCCAGAGGACCCTTTCCACAGTCAGGGGGCCAAGCCTTCCCCTCTTCTCGCTGTTCTGTAAGAAGCTTTCTAAAGAAGAGGAACCCCCCGCGGTAGCAGATGGCGGATAAGTAGGAATGGTAAATAGTTTTAATTACTGCATAATGTAAGTGAGACAATAAAGGGGAGACAGTGGAAGCAAGCTGCTGCCGCCGAGGCCCTGAAACTGTTGTGGGGCCCAATTTGTCTGGCATGTGCTGTTCTTAGTCTTGGGAGGGCTTTAAAGAGAACGCCGAAAATATTAATTGCCCGCCTCACTGGCCCATCCATCTTCACAACCGAGTAACACGCTTTTTTAATTTCAGGGGAATCGTTTTCAAATGGGAATCATGCAAATGAGTATTTTAGCTATTCATTTGTTTTACTGCGAGCGCTTTGTGAGCAAATGGCCTACAGCTTGCAATGAATTAAAAGACATGGGCACTGGAGACCGATTTTTAATACAAAGTCTTGACTCGGAGACGACCCCGACCAGCAGCACAGAAAATGTTGGCATAGCAACTTCGGGCATTTTCATGCAAATTGGCTTCTATATAGATGATACGAACGCAATGTTTTCCTTCAACTAATCATCATAAAATTAGTTTCAGTATATTTAAATGCCTCCACTTAATGCATTATATCCATATGCATGAAATTGCCTCCGCTAATGCAGTACATAAAACGCCAAAGACACAATGAATAGCCAAATTGCAAGCAGTTATGTTATCTCCCATAAAATCGGCTCCCCTTCCCCCTTCTTTTTTTTGTTGAGTGTGGGTGTTATTGAATGTGTGGGCGCCAAAGGCATCTATCACAAATTGCTATTAACACACAGACTCACAGACACACACACATCCCACAGTCCTCTTCAGTTAAGTAACACTAAGGTTGCAACACAATCTAACAAAACCAGACGAGGTCGGGGCTAGGCTGGTTGCGCTCGCCTGGGCTGGCCAACCTCCCATCGCACAGAGCCGGTAACCAGAGGACACAGTGGAGTAACGAGCACTTGACTTCTCTTGGAATTAGGGGTGTGGCGCCCCTCCCCACCCCACCCCACCGTCAGTCACTGAATTGGGAGACCTGAGAGGGATGTGTCTCAGCTGATTCTGAGAAGATCAGTTGGATCAAGAATTCGACTGGAAATAATCAAAGATGGAGTCACTGCCCCCGAAGACTGGCCCTGGTCGCCTGGAGAGATGACAACTCTAGAGCAACATAATCAAAGTCTATAACTGAGAAAAGGCTGATGAGGAAGGAAAGAAGGAAGGCAGGCAGTGTTCATGGAACCCCTGTGTTCTGGGTGCTGTGCTTGGCATCATGTTCTGTCATATTTACAACAGTGAAAAGGTCGACATGATCATCACCAGTCTTGTGCACCACGAAATGAGTCTCAGAGGACCACGTCTGAGGTCACATGACCAGTAAGCACCAGAGGAAGGATTCAAACCCACGTCTCCCCAACGCTGCACTTTCCTCTGGGCCAGGCTGCCCCCTGCTGGTGGCACTGAGTAATGATAGGCGTGGCTTTATGAGCCTTCTGCTCCAAGAGATGCTGTCCTCACCAGCAAGGCAGACACTGGGAGGGTACAGGAGATAAGAGTTTTGTGAGTCTTTCCTTCAGCATCGTGGCTTGATTCTCCTTCTGCATCTGATGAGTCAATACAGATTCCAAATTCCCCCAGGGTCAAGGGTCAAGAGGATTAGGCTTCACGTGGACAGAGGGTAGCACTTTCCAACTCACTATCTGGGTCTCTCCCCACTTCAATCTGGCAAGAAAGCCAGGGTTCTTCTCTGCTCCAGCCTTGGTGGATTTGAAATTCGGCTTAAATATATGGATGCCAGTCATGTCCAGGGTGGGGGTTATGAGGGAGAGAAGCAAGAGGTGACTATGGAAAAACATAAGCCCTTCCTTTCCACCTGGAGATGGAGTTCCACCTCCAGAATTCTCCAATTCTCATTCCTTGGGGGACTCTGTGTTTGGCTTAAGTAGGGGTGTCACTTCCTCACAAAAATGCGTGGGGTTGCTATGGAAACAGTATGGCGGTTCCTCAAACAATTAAACATGGAATTACCATATGATCCAACAATTTCACTTCTAGGTATATACCTAAAAGCACTGAAAGCAGGGACTCAGACATTTGCACACCCATATTCATAGCAGCATTGCTCACAGTAGCCAAACAGTGGAAACAACCCAAGTGTCTATCAAGGGATGAATGAATCAGCAAAATGTGGTGCATATACGTACACCATGGAATATTATTTAGCCTTGAAAAGGGAGGAAATCTGGACACAAATTACAACACAGATGAACCTTGGAGACATTGTGCTAAGTGAAAAAAGTCAGTCACAAGAAAACAAGTTGTAATAGCCTATTATGAAAAATAATTTGAAAAGGAATATATACACATAACTGAATCAGCATGCTGTATACCAGAAATGAAGACAACGTTGTAAATCGACTATACCTCAATTTTAAAAAATAATTTTTTTACAAGAATGCATGAGGTGGGAAGGCATCTTCCCCAAGACCCCAAGCATGTCACAGAATTCAGGGGCTAAACTCTCCGAACAGCTTGAGGAAGAGGTGGGAACAACTGTTCCTAATGTCCCAGGACTGCCCACCTCTTGTGAAACACTTCTGTGTTCAATACAGGCTTATTGAATCAAATTCAGTTGAATTAAATTAAGTGGTAAGTTGAGGTAAAGTGAGGGAGACCCTTAAGAGTGACCAGGTTACCTGGCGTCTAAGGCATAGATCAGGAACTCCTCTGATCTCATTCAGTTGGCCCATTTCCCCTTCCTTGTAAATCTCTCGTCTTCTGTCTTGTCTGGACGACACTCTCCACTCATGCCCAACACACACAAGTACTCCTATTATATTTCTTTCCATTGGTCTTTTTTCTGTTTCCTCACCACCTGGAATTGTTTATGGCTACTGTGACTTTACAAACATTAGAACAGGTTGGCACGCTCCCTTGTAAGCGGAGCATGTTACCCTCTGCACTGTTACACTTCCCAACGCTTATCTGTTAACACTGGTCCTGCGATTCCAATAGCAACCACCAGGTGGCAAGTTTTGGAAAAACCCAATTATGGCAAATACCGCCCCTGGTGGCTATAGCAGGATTTGCAGGCAAGATGACCAGGTGGCAATTAACCAGGACTTGCGAGGGCACATCTGTATTTAAAAGCCAGCTCCTTTCAGCGACGGCAAGAGGAACTGCTCCTGAAGATGCCCCACAGCTCTGGCTGCTCTTATGTTCTCTCTTGTGCCTTTAGCTCCCAGAAGAACCCAGTGCTGCGTTGTCTTCTTGTGTATAACCTGCCTATCTTTGGTGCAGGGCTGCACGCTCGGTCCTAAGAAATCCTGGATCAGCTAGATTCTGAGATGAGTTCAAATGTTCCAGCTCATCCCGTTTCTACTATCGTTTCCAGATTCGGTTTTTAAATTGTGCTCTCGTGGGAAACCTCCCGTGGCTTTTTTGTTCTTGGTACACGCTCCCCTGATGAGGCTTCCTTTGCTCGTCTTCCTCCATGTCTGCACTTCCTCCTGCTGCCGGTGGGGGAAGCCGGATCTCCTGCTGCAACGGAATCATGTCATCCTTGGTCTGCAAAGTCGCCGCCTCCCTTTGGAGAACTCCCTTTGGCAACTGATGGCGTTCCCTTAGTTTACAAGCAGTTAGAAACAAAGAATCAGAGACCACGAGGACTTAGCGGGGACTCACTAGGAAAAATCATGGCACGCTCACCTGATCTCCCCTCCTGATGAGATGCTTCACGTGCATTTTGATTTCTGCCAAACATTTTCTTAAGTCTTCCTTGCTAGCTTTTGAACAAAATGCAGAGATGAGACAAGATGAGAGCTTAGATATGCAGATTCACAGCTGGTTAATCAACCCCATACAAAGAACATGGAGCAAATGGCTGGAAGTTGGTCTCTGGTGAAATGTGGTAGGGCCCACCCTTGTCTCTGCTCTAATCTGCATTTTACTGCCTTGAATGAAGACTCTTAAAAGCAGACTTTCCACATTTCCAGGCATTGCAGTAGCACTTGAGTTACAAAATATTTCATAAGTGGGAAAAATCTTTAATAGGCTAGGAAAAATACGCTGAATGCATTATGGTGAAATTTAACAGACAAAAATGTAAAGTTTCCCATTGAAGGTCAGTCAACTGGCTCAGCATAGAATGGAAAATGCTTGGCTTGGCAGTGGGCTCTTGTTTAAAATCTCTGCAGTTTGAATAATATCTAAACCAATTCCTTACTAAAGATGGTGTATAGCTGCTAAAAGAATTGGTGTCAGTTTAGGTGGTATCAGTGTGGTAAAGATGGTGGTGGCGCTGGACCCACTGAGGACTCTGTGATGAGTGACCAAGGTGATCAGGACGCTACAGTCATTTGCTATGAGTAACGCTTGAGCTATAAAAGGGAACAGGGACGAATCTGGTCCCTGGTGGACAACTCTGGGGGAAAGGACCACATCCTTTTTTACCTTTACATTCCCAATATCTACTAAAGGGCCTAACAGAAAAGAAGGTGCTGGTTATGACTGTCGAAAGAACGAATGCATGAATGATCGGAGGGGGCAGGAAGCTTTCTTTGCATGTTGGAAGGGCTTTCATAGGAAAGCGGGAGCAAGGACCCAACAGTGATGGCGGCCCAAGGCATCTTTGGCACCCTGAACCCCTTTCCTCTGAGCCCACCCACAAACCTATCCATGACAATCCATTTTTAAGACTCCAGTGATAAGTAATTTGCATATCCTACAGTGGAAGGAGACATCCACTCCTGGGTTCAAACTCTGTCTACCACCCGCTGTGTAAACCTGGGCAATTAACTTCCCTGCACCTCTTTCCCTATCTGCCAAATGGCAGTAAAATTACTGCCTCCTTCATAAGGTCAATGTAAGGATTAGAAGAAATGGCATATGTAAAGACCTGGTGCATAATAAAGGTTCCAAAAAAAAAAAACTGCAGGATGAATCAATTTCCTCTGAGCGCCTCTCATGCACCCACTGGTTTCCACTGATAACCAATACCACGCTGCCCAAAATTCTGCTCCTTCTTCACGGGCAGAGCCTCCCTTCCTCCGTAAGGAAACCTCCCTGACCTCGCCCGGCCATGATTCTTCTTTCTTTTTCTGGTTCCCCAACTCACAGTCTGTTCTACACCCTGTTCCCTGGCTCCCGTGGGGAACTGGGGGGCATCTGCAGGGGTGCCCATCTGAGTCTGCCCTCACTGCCTGCCAGATCGACATCCTGGCGCCGGGAGCTGCACTGGGCAGAGTGGAGTCGGGAACAGGATCCTAACGGGGAACTCAGGAGACCGGGACTCCACCCCTGGCTGCTAGAGAACTGGGCAATTCCAGTCCCCTCTCCTGTCCTCATGGAAGGTGCTCCAGATTGTCCCTCACATGTGGTGACTCTCTGTGATACTCCGGCTCGTGTCATCCTCAGTAACTACAAGGTAAAGATACGTCCTTGGCGGAAGGGGGTACCTGCGTGGCAGCCATTTTTACCTTCCTAGGAAGACACAGGTACTTGGAGACAATGACATGCTGCCCCCTCCCATCATATTCGTCCAACTATTTCCTTAACAAGTTAGGAGATTCAGTTCTTTAAACTCCTTTAGGAAGCACTGATGACCCACGTCAGGAGGACGTCCCTTGAGGCTCCTTGAGCCTCCGGCTGGTTTTCTCAGAAATCAAAGCACCCAGGCTGGGAGTCTAATCTCTGGGGACCCTGAGAAGCTCCCTTCCCTCTCCGGGCCTCACGGTCTCCATCTATAAAATGAAAGGGTTCAGGTGGAGGAGCTCTGAGACCCCTGTTAGCAAGGATGTCAAAATTATCTCTTCATTGTGGCCACACCCCCAGTAACTGAGGCAGAAATATTAAAACAGGATCTGGGGTTAGTAAACAAAGCTTATTAAATGGAACCCTCCAACAATTACTCCTCCAATCTCAATCAAGAGACCCAAATAATCTGGCTTCTCAATTTGCTCTAGCAGTTTCTTTGAATTTCTGCTGCTGATTAGTTCGGGTAGCCGGGAAATGGGGTCTGGCACACCTAACCCATTCGTTTTGTTCTCTGCGAGGGAGGCTCCATCTTGGAAATCAGAACCAGGAGGTAATGGCTTTTGATGTATTGTCAAAGACGGGAGAGCAAGGAGTTCTCACACAACGTCATTGCTGCCTGGGGTCCCACAAGGACAACGACATTGAGAAGAAGGATGAAGAAGGGTGAGGTCAAGATGGTGACCAGCCATCGCTGGGCATGGGCGGGGTGGATGTCCCGTGAGATAGGGCTGGCCATGGCAGAGCCTATGGGCAAGCTGGTTGGTTTCTGGGGTGTCCAGTGGTGTCACAGCAGGGGAGCAGCGGGGTTGACAATGGAAATTCACACTGGGTACTGAGATGTGGAGCCTGAGAAGAAGCGGAAATTCTAATTCCAGGGACCAAGTGGACTTGCCATCATCAACAGCCGGCAGATGTCAGAGGCAAAGCTCAGGGTCTGGCTGGCTCAGAGTATGTCCATTCATTCAATAAGACTGACTGAGGACCTGCTATGTGCCAGTGACAGCTCTAGACGCTGGAGATACAGCCGTGACAAAGACAGAAGAGCCTGGCTCGCACGGAACTAATTCCAGTGGAAGCAGCAAAAAACAAATAATTTCATAATAGAATGTCATGTAGTGGTTGATTTAAGGGCCATAAAAAATAACGCAAGGGAAAGGAATGGAGAGGGATGGGAGCTGCTATGGTAGATAGGGTGGTCAAGGAAGGCTTCCCTGAGGAGGCGACAGGGAGCAAGGACCTAAATGAAGCAGGGAGTGAGCCACGTGAATATCAAATGAATTTCACCAAAAGCTGCTCTTGTCACTGTGGGTGATGGAGCTGTTAGGACTGCATTCAAGCTGTGAGCATCAGAAAATCCTGCTAATCACAGCTTGAGCAGACAGGGATGAAACAGGGATGCGGCAGGCAGCCCAGGGCTGGAACAGAGGGTGAAGGGGACCTTGAGACCCAGGCTCTTCTTCTCTTTCTGCTCGGTCATCCTTAGCGTGTGGCTCTTGTCCTCAAGGTCACGGGGCAGCTGCTCGCCTCAGACACAGAGAGTAAGTTCACGACATGAAGGGGGAAAAGGAGCAGGCAAAAAAAGCCAAAGGGACATGAGCTGGGTACTGTCCCCATTAGCCCCACCTGATGACTTCTGTGACTTCCGGGCCAGAACTGGGTCACATGGCCACGCTGCACCAGCCACTGGGAGAGAGAAGGGGCTGTAAGTGGGGACTGGGTCAGCCAGTCAGCACCAGTCACCCTGGCTCATTTTATTAGGGCCTTCCATTGTGGAGGGTGGCTTTGTGATGGCTTTCACCCGGGGACATCTTAAAGGCTCTTCTCTCCTCTGATGCACAGAGAAGCCCCATAGGGAGTTGGGACACTGAGCCCCAGCTCTGCCACAAAGCTGCTGGGTGATCTCAGGCCAGTTGCTTCTGGTCTCTGGGTCTTGCCGGAGCAAGCACGAGACTCCTCTTTGCTTTCATGGTCTAGGGTTCCAGGTGCCACTCCTGTCCCAGCCACCCATAAAGCCTGCCACTTAGAAGCCTAAAGAACCCGGCTGGGTTCCCGGAGGGGCACACAGGATGGCCATTTTACCAAATAAGACACAAACTCTGACCTCACCTACGGGAACACAATTTAAGCAGGCACCAAAACCCACAACCATCAAGACACATATTTTAATGCAATATTTTAAAAAATCAAAAAGTCAATGCAGTAACCAGCAATGAAAAAGAATATGAAAAAGGAATATATGTACGTGTATGGATGACTGAAATATTTTCTGTACACCAGAAAGTATTGTAAACTGACATATTTCAACTAAAATTTTTTTTAATTTTTAAATCAATGTAAAAAAAGTCCATAATGAACAAAATATCAAATTTTAAATAAAGACAAAATCAGTATTACCAATTTTTCCCCTTTGCTCCAGACTCTGCTGCAGCTCCGCATGGCACAGCACTGATACTAACCCCGTCTTTAAATTTTGGAATTTTGTTGATCATCAATTTTTTGCATTTTTAAAATAGCCTGCATTAAAACATGATTTCACTTCTGAGTATTTGGGTACCCATTTAAATTGTACACCCGAGGCAAAGTCCTCACCCACCTTTACACTGGTCCCCGCCCTGTCCCTGGAGGCCTTTAGGAAGCCCTTGCTGGACAGCGGCCAGTCTGCCCAGCCAGGACTTTTGCACGTCTGGGGACGAGATCACACTGCGCATGTGTAATTTTTAGCCCTTTGCCATGAGGTGTTTGGTTTAAAGGCCCTGGTATTTCTTTCATAAGGAAAATCAGCTGTAGCCATTAAAAATTTAGTCCCACAGATTAGTAGCTCCTCTCTGAGATGCCGTATTTATTTAATCATAGTAAATTTGGGCCAAATCCTCTCCTGGGGTTTCCAGCACCTGCCTCCATTCCCCTAAGGAGTTTGTCACCAGGACCACGCTATTCGCACAAAATCCCTCTGCCTTTGGCTCCCCTGGCCCGCTGGCTCACAGGGAGATAAAACACCTTAGCCTCATTACTCAGATGGCTAATTGCGAACTGATTTAATTAAAGTATACAGATATTTCCCCAAGTTAGTTACATTTCATATCACTCCATTAGGAGTAATTGGCTGGAATGAGGAGCTGCAGAGACGGGGGCTGGCCAGGTGGGCGGGGAGCCAGGGACCCCTTTGGTTGGTAGAAGTCTTGCTGCCTGACTATTGGGGTCGTCTGCGGGCGTTCCTGGTGGTACAGGGTCACCAAGAGAGCCACTTCAACCCAGCCGCCTGTGAGTATGTCCCTGCATCATTTTAATCACATGCACTGAGTTGCTGACAGCCAGGGTTGGGAACCTGGGTTTCAAGCCCACTTTCACTTACGAGCTCTGGGACCTGGCACAGTCACCTCACTTAGCTGAGCCTCAGTGTCTTTCTCTGTAAAATGGGAGTAATAGTAATGCCTGCCTCAAATGATTGGTTCCAGATTAAATGGAACAAGCCTGGGAAACCTTTAATATGGTACCTGGCACATAGTTAATGCTTAATAAATAATATTTGTGAACAGGTAGGGCTGCAGAGTGAAGCAGTAGAGACCGTGGAAGAAGCATCTGTCTCAGAATCAGAAACTTTGGGGTCTGGTCTCAGGCATGCCCCTACCTTTTGTGCCATCTTGGACAACTTCCTCCTTTCCCTGGGCTGTAGTTTACTCAGATGGCAAATTAGAAGAAGGAGGCAGAGACTGAGGTTTACCCACTCTATATCCATCCTCCACTTCTCCCCTGCTGACTCAGCCCTGATTGGGGCAGCAATGTACTACTATCCACATTTCCTAGCCTCCCTTATAGTTTGGGCTAGTGCCATGACCAATTCTGGTCAATGAGACAAGAGCCAAAGTTGTTATCTTCTTGGGCAAGGTTCCCAGCAAGTCTCCTTTAAAAGGGAGCTGATTCAGGCACCACTTCTACACTTCTCCTTCCTTCTTTCTCCCACCTGGAATGTGACACGGATGGTTGGAGCTCCAGCAGCCATCTTGTGTCCATGAGGTGACTTTAAGGGTAAAAGCTACTTGCAGAACCACTTGGCCAAGCAGAAAGACAGAAGATGTCATTGTGGAATTGTTGCCACAGCCCTGACCACCCTGGATTTCATAGCACATGACAAAAAAAATAGGCCTTCTTGTTTGTTTGTTTCTTTTTTGTTTTTGTTAAGCCTTAGCTTTCTGGGGTCTTCCTTCCTTACTGCCAAATACTATTTCAAATACTGATACAGGGTTTCTTTCTCAATTGGAATATTCAAAGCTTGATCTCTGAGCAGTCAGAACTGCCTGCCCAAATCCCTTTCTGCACCAGGAGAGACCCCTTCAGCCTGTAGCAACATCACCTCACCCTCACCCTGACTCCAGCCCCAGTCTGCTCACCCATCTCAGGATCTTCACTACAGAGCCAAGATCACCATTCTTCAAGCCTGTAAGTCTCAAACCGTTCTCACAGGGAGGTCAGGCCCCTGGTCTATATACTCCCCAAGCGCCTGCACAGCCAATCCCTTTGCTGATTGCCCATGGCAGGAGCAGACAGAATGGGGAGGAGGCTTATTTATGACAGCTCTGATGTAGTGGAAAATGTGACAATTTGCTGCTGAAATACCCGGTTTTAATCCCTGTTCTGTCCTTTACTGATTGTTTGATGGCTATAGATTGAATGTTTGTGTCCCCCTGCCCCAAATTCATATGTTGAAAACCTAACGCCCAGTGTTTTGGTATTAGGAGGTGGGTCTTTGGGAGGTGATCAGGACACGCGGGCAGAGCTCCCATAAATGAGATTAGTGCCCTCAGGAAAGAGGCCCCAGAGAGCTCCCTCGCCGCTTCTACCAGGTGAGGTTACAATGAAAATACAGCCATCTAGGAGCAAGCGGGCTCTTACCAGATGCCTAATGCCAGCGCCTCGATCTTGGACTTTCCAGCCCAAGTGGACAAAGACCGTGATCTTTGGAAAGTCTCTAAGTCTCTCTGGACCTTGGTTTTCTCACCTGTAAAGTGAGCATAAAAATAATAATAATATTGTACCCATTGTGTAGGGAATGGGGTAAGGAAGTGATTTGGATGTGAAATGCATTGTAAGTCGAAAAGCACAGTACATTTATCAGGAGTTATTATTATCATCGGAGACCATTTTTGGAATGAATCTACAAGTCTTTCCTAAGCCCCTTCCCTGAGCCCAGCCCCTATAGGTGCAGGGAGGGGAGTACCAAAACAGTACAAGGCCAGCGTCCTCCATGTCACAGAGGAGGCAATGGAGGCTCAGAGAGGGTAAGTCACTTGTCGAAGGCCACACAGCTCAAGAGTGGAGGTGCTGGGATTTGAGCCTGGCTTTCTGAGTCTGAAGACCGCCTTGGCCTCACTACACAGAGATCAAGAGCTGTGGCCAAATCCAGCCACCACCTGATTTTATAAATAAAGTCTTACTGGACCACAGACACAATCACGTGTTTACACCTTGTCTGGCTGCATTTGCATTACAGTGGCAGCGCTGAGTAGTGGCAACAAAGATTAGGTGTGGCTCGCAAAACTTAAAATATTTGCTTACCTGGCCCTTTACAGACAGTTTTCTGAACCCTGATCTACAGTGTCCGGTCCATCTACCTGTCATCCAGCAACCACGGAATGACTCTTCGCACACCTGACACTGCTGGGCACCAGTGACTGGGGGATAAATTAGTTGCAGACCTGGATGCTTCCCAGGTCACCAGTGAGGCTGGCCCCATTTCACAGATGAGGAGACTGAGGTTTGGAACCACTGAGTTTCCCCAGATCCCCGGGAGATTTGCGGCTGATGCGGCAAAATGCAGTCTGGCACCTTGCTCTGTTCCCTCATGGGGACTCCACAGGCTCCATGGGAAGGGCTCACAGGCCCACATCAGGACCCAACGAGGGGAAAGGGATGGAGAGTCTGGAGGTGATCGGTCTCCCTCTCCCTCTGTCTCTTTCGGTCCCTCCAATTCCCACTTGTAGGAAAGCCAAAAAAGTAAGTTGCAGCATCTCGTCTGGGAAGAAAAATGATACTTATGACCACTAATTCATGGACAGTTACCAAGGGCTACTGTGTGCTAAGCACATTAGAAACTCTCTTCTTTTATGGTGACACTGACAGGTGGGCACTGTAATTCCCCTGCTCCATTTTCTAGCTGGGGACATGGAGACCACAGCGTTCAAATGACTCACCCAAGGTCACAGAGGTCACAGAGCTAGGAAGAGGCAGAGCCAGAGTTAGACCTCATGTGTGTCTGATTCTGATGAGCAGACAGGAGGCCCCTCCCATCTTTATGATCAGGGTTGGAGACAGTGAGACTGGCTTTGCTCACCTTGAAGAATTTATGCAAGGGGAAAAGTTTGTTCCTGGGTCTCTCAGTCACGCTTTTCGGGGACTTTGACCCTCAACCTTGAGCTTTCCTGCTTCCCTCAGGTTGCTTTTGTACCCTGAGGTGGCAATGACCAAGAAGCAGGCCCCCTCCCGCAGCATCTGCTCTTTAAAGAGGATTAACTACGAAGGTATCTAGTTTTAAGGGTGGAATTTGAGGTCTCTGCAGGCCAGGCACAGAGGGCAAAGCTCTCCTGGATCCCTGAAGCAACAACCCAGAGGATACACACTCTGAGCCTTCTTCCAAAGCAGGCCTCAGGCTTCAAGCCACGGAGGATGTTGAGTTTGTGAGTGTCTGTCCCCCAAAGCATGCTGCCTACCAGCAAACCAGGGGGGTGGAGAGAGAAGCTGGGTTTCAAAACTGCTGCAGGGGAAGGTGTCAGGGGAGGAGCAGACTCCAGGTGGTAACTTGGCCTCTCAGGTCCCATCGTCACTCACCCCAGTCCTCCCCATCCCTGCCCAGGCATCCTCCCGCCCCAGCCTTCGTCTGCACACTTGGGCCATCCCTCTCACTCCTGCATCCAGACCCACAGGCAGTCCAGGAGCATCCCTGAGAAAATGGCTCACAGTCCTGGTCCTCTGTCTCTCTCCTCCCGCCTCCATCAACAGACGTCACCTTCATGCAACAAGCAGCCAGGCTGGGCACTGGCTCTGGGTACCGCGTG